CCAGCCTCCTTCTTTGGGCCACCAGAACAGCTGGTTTCCATGGGACCCCTGGAACCAGGCTGGGTTGGGGATAAGCTACTGGGTCAATTTTCTGCAGTCAACAGCTGCACTGGGGAGCTTAAGAGGGAATGGGAGCCCCAGAAAGACTTGAAGAGAGGTTCTACTGTCTGACCTTCTAGGGGCTGGCCCATCATCCCCTCCTGCCCTGCCCCAAGGACACAATGAGTCCAATAGATTTTTTTTTTTTTTTTTTTTGGCAGTACTGGGGTCTGAATTCATGGCCTTGCACTTGCCAGGCAGGCACTCTACCACTTGAGCCACTCACACAGCCCCCAATAGCCTCTTTGTCCCCATCCAGCACCTCAAGCCCAGACCCAGGTCCCTCTCAGTCTTCTCTGAGGCTTTGCCCTTCCCCTCTCTGCCCACCTCTTTTCTGTCTCAGAATTGTTATCTGGCCCAGTGCCCACCAGCCTACGGCCCCCTCCCCCATCTCTTCTCCAAAAATTACAGATCATCTCAGTGGTGTGGGGGGGGGGGGAGTGGGGGGCGTGTCCCTAGATCTCTGCTCTCCCTTAATTTCCCACCCTCAGATGGCAGGAGAGGCAGCAACAATCAGGGAGATGACCTGTTTCCCAGACCCAGTGCCCTCAGCCGGCAAACCGCCTGGGTGCTGCACAGACCCTCTCCCATCTGAGTGACTGCAACCCTTCCTATTGCAGTCAGCAGTCACCTCCCAGGCTGTGGTGCTGATCTTGTTGGGCCACACTTGCTCCCTTTGCCATGCTCCAGGATGGCCCCTAAAAGTCACTGTCATCCCCTGTTTTGGGTCAGGTCCTTCAGGACTCTGACCCCACCATTCCTAATTCTCAGGTTCTCTACCTGTCACTTAATGTTCCCTCCTTTCTAGGTCTCAGGCCTAGCACCAAGCATTCTTAGACTTCTAGCCTTCCATTGCTAGAAGTCTTCTTGGTGCTAACTCCCATCCATCCCGCTGCAATGGTATTTTCTTTTGGGGCAAATCAGAGCCTAGCTCTAAGCATATTTCAGAAGGCTGCAATGGTATTTTCTTTTGGGGCAAATCAGAGCCTAGCTCTAAGCATATTTCAGAAGGCTGGGTTGCTGAAAAAAAGAGTGGCAGGCAAGGGTACAACATTTCCCTCTGCACTGAGGATGGAGCAGTCTGCAAGGCAAGATGCTGTAGTCTGCTTTGTGCCAAATGCTTCCTGAAGGCTCAGGGAGGTCAGGAGATGCAGACCCCAGCCCCCTCTTCCACCTTCTGTGGAAGTCTTGCCTTCTTTGCTGACCTTCTCTACTAAGTGGCAGAACCCCAGGTGTCCAGCCCCACCTGGCTTTAATTTCTACATGAGTCCCAGCCAACAAACCCTTTGAGCCAGCAGAGGCAATAACACTGTGCCGGGTGAGGCTCTCCACAAGTGCTGACGTTGGCCAGAGAATCTCTCTGGTCCTGGTTGGGGGTGAGGGTGGGGACCTTCCATCCCCAGCCCTGGATTGACTGCCTGGTCACTCTTCCCCCACTGGACTTCTAAGGAGTGATGGAGAGGGGCAGGGGTGTCTCCTTTTCCAAGTCTGTACCCTTCAGTTGTGTACACAGATACCCAACCCACACTCCATCCCTGCCGGTACAAAACCAGCTGCCACTTTCCTCCTAGCCACACTACAATGGAACAAAGCCCCAGAACTTTCCTCCCCTAACTTCCTAGGTTTCTTCCCCAGTCCATCCCCTGTCCTGCCTATGCTCCCCCAGCTTTTCTCAACAACTTTGCACCCCCCCACTTGAGTCTCCAAATTCCTGGGGGAGTCCCATGAGAGGTTTGATTAAGGCCCCTGAAAAGGGGAAAGGGATCGCCCCAGGCAGATCTGTAGCAGATTTGGTCATAATTAAAAGGCCAGTGACACTGGGAAATTCCTTCTCCTTATTGATCCCAGCTGGAAATTAAAGCCAGTTGTTTGTGACTTAGTGGCTGATGCTGGCTGAAACTCCTACCCTAAATTGCCAGGCGCCAGGGCCTTCTAGCCCCTGCCCCTTGCCCCTAGGCTCCTCCATCTATCTCTGTTAGCTCCTTGTCCAGTCTCCCAGCCCTCTTATCTCCCACCCCTCATTGTCCCCCATTTCCTTTCCCCAGCATCTCCCTTGAGCACCCCCCTCCTGCTTTTCCCCAAGGGGTAATAGAGCTACTACAGGAAGAGACCTCCAGCCCCAGCTAGTCAGCACTGTGGACCCTCACCCTCCTCCCTCAGCCAGGGTTGGGGTGCTGGAGCCTGAGATCAGGCCCAGAGCTGCCAAACCGCAAACACATCTGGAAAGAATTCCCCCTCAGCCTGACTTCCCTTTGTCTTACTTCTGTCTCTTTGGAAATTCTGGCCAGTTGGCTGGAGGGGGGAGTGGGGAAGTGAAGAGAGGGGAGTCGGCCCAAGCTTCCCTACCCCCACCCTAGGGAGCCCCCTCTCTGACTTTCATCCTCTCCGACTTTCATCCTCTCCAGCATTCTCAGTCAAGTGACTTAGCCTCAGTGACTGTGCTCCCTCTGCACTAGCATCAAAGGACGAGATCATGTCCTTCTAAGGCTCGGTGCCCTCATCCTAATGACCATCCTTGTGGTGAGGTTTTGTTTTTTGGTTTTTGTTTGTTTTGTGGTACTGGGACTTGAACTCAGGGCCTTCACCCCGAGGCACTCCACCAGCTCTATTTTTGTGATGGGTTTTTTTGAGATAGGGTCTCATGAACTATTTGCCCAGGCTGGCTTCCTCCTGATCTCCACCTCCTGAGTAAGCTAGGATTACAGACATGAGCTATCAGCACCCAGATGGGGTGAGCTTTTAATACCCCTGGTCTCCAGGCTCCAGATCAAGAGGGTCTGCCTTGGTTCTTTTCTCTTGCAGGAGGGATGCGGGCTGAGCAGGAGACTGGACTCTTCTAGGGTTGCAGTGGAGATGGACATAATGACCTGGGTGGGAGAGGTAGGGAAAACAGGAGTAAGGCTTCTGCCATATTCCCTCCTCCAGCCTCTCCTCATCCCTTTGGCTAGGAGCCAGATTTCACTGTCAGAACCTAATCCCTCTCCCTTTACCTACAGCGACGCTGAGCAGAGATGGTGGGGGAGGAGCTCCATTGCGCCTGCAACCCCAGGCGCTGAGCACTCCCCAGGGCCCCCCTTCATTCCATCCCCCCCCTTTTGTCTGTCCTGCAGATCTGCTTGACTTACTGCAGAGCTGCTGCCCTCTTTCTTCCAAAAGCCTGGGTTCCCATATCCCCAAATCAGCTCTCTCCCCACAAAATCTGGACCCCTAAACCCAGGCTGAAGTTTCCAGCTCCCTTCTTCAAATCTGCCAGATTGGCTACTGCTGGGTGGGGCCCAATCTAGAAGTCTTTTAGTGCTGTAACCTCCATCCCTCCTGCTGCACTCAGCCTAGCTGCCTTCGTTTTCTTCCCTGAGTCGAGAGAAGTCAGGTCCGGAGCTTATTGTCCGGCCCTAAAGCCGGGGTTAATCCTCCAGCCCTTCTCCTGGGGCTCGCGCCATAAGCCCCAACTCCTGAGACCATTCCTTGTTCTAAGGATAAAGGCTGGGAGATGTGAAACCCGGCCTACTCCATCCTTGGCCACGCTGGCAGGGAGGACCGCTTGCGGGGCTTTTGGTCCAGCCTTAGAAGGAAATGGAGGGGAATCCTGGAAGGGATGGTAGGCAGTAGGAGTGCGGTGCGAGCAGCTGGGCCACATGCCCTGCAGAGTCCCTTGGCTCTGACAGGCCGGGTGGTTCTCCCGGCTCCACGCTCCGCATTCCGTCGGGCTGCGCTCCTCTGCGGTTTCCGCCCTCGGGCGGGTCTCCCGGCCTGCTTCCTAGGTCCACTGCCTGTCCTCCATTTCTGTTTATCTGTCTCCGGGTCCTTTCCACTAAGTCTCGTCCACTCCCACTCGGGTGTCTGCGGGAAGCAGTGCCCTACCTCTCCTTTCATCTCTCACTTCAAAGCCGTTCCTTCCGCCCGTTTTACAGCTCATGATGTGACACCTGAGACCCTGCTCCACTCCTTCCCCCATCTTCGGTGGCGGCGCGCCTGTCTCTGCCTCCCCTCCCCCTTTGCTGCCTACCGAGACCCCCTCGGGGCCCGGGGAGCCTTAATAAAGAGTCGTGTCAAGTGATTGGCTGTGACCTCTGCCCTTCCCAGTCTCGCTCCCTGGCTCCTGCTTAACCCTTAGATGTCCGATTGTGCACTAAGTGGAATAAATTGCCTTGCCCTCACTTCTAGTGTCCACAGGCACTACCCGACCCCACAAGCCTGGTGGGATGTTGGGCGTACTGTGCAAACTCCTCAGTCTTGGTGTCATTACAGAAGGGGGCGCTGTTGCCTCATTTAGGTGCCTGAACCCAGAACTCCAGGGTTCCCTAGCCCCCTCTCGGAGTTCCGAGATGTACCTCTGGATCCCGTTTGGGCTCTCGTGGAGTCAGAACTCGCTGCCCGTTTTGCTTTTGTTTTTGCAGTTCCAGCTCAAGATCTGGGGTTCACCCTCTAGTCGGGTCGCCAGATGTCTGGCGCCAGGGAGTCCAGTACATCGAGTCAGGTTGGGGACAGATAGGGAATTGGCGAAACGTAACCCTGTGGCTCGCCCTGCAGGACACGAGTCCCGTGCATCTGCGCCCCAGGCCTGGCGCCCCCCTCCTCTCGCCAAAGGCGCAATTAGAGTGCTCTCCTTCCATTCAAATCTACACCCTTCCTACCGCGAAAGAAGGCTGTCTCGGCCCCCAGAGAACTCTGAACTCACGAGGCTAGAAATAGCTTGGTGGGGGGCAGGACCCGGGTTAGTGTCAGGGTCCCCCAGGTGGGGTGGGAAGGCGGAGCGCGAGGCGGGGCCACCTCATTCCTCAACAGGGGCGGGCCGGTGCTTGGCATAAAAGCTGCTTGCGCGGGAGCCCAAGCCAGTTTTGGGGTTGCCCTCCAACGTATCTTGCTTCTCGAATCTCAGTATCCCACAAAGGCGGCAGCAACCTTTTAACTAAAGGACTCAGTGTCCAGTAATCTAGCCGAGAAATCTAAGGGGACAGCCTTGCCGCACCGCCACCATGCCCAACTTCTCTGGCAACTGGAAGATGATTAAGTCGGAAAACTTCGAGGATTTGCTCTTAGAGCTGGGTAAGGAGGTTTTCGAGCTCCTGGGAGGGGAAAGGGATACCGAAATCTTCCGAGGTGGGAAGGTAAGAACAAGAAAGAAAAAGAGGTCAAAATTAGGGTGTGGGAGCTTGCATCCCCAAAAAAGAGTCAAGCTGGGCACCTAGGTCCCTAGGCACTGGACTGGGACGCCTAAATCCAGCTTTCTCTAGTGGGACGCCCACCAGTGCCAGCTCCAGTGGTGACTCAGATTCTGCGAATCAAGTAGAAACCAGAAGCACGAGGTTGGTCTCTGGAGCGGGGTGGCTAGCCTCCGTGCTTGGACCCGCTGACCAAGGGGACCTGGCTCTCCGCAACTTAGACGCTGCCGCTGAACAAGCCGCGTCTAGCCTTGGCCCTAAGGAGAAATTCCAACCTCTATCCCCATCCTTCCCCCACCCCGCACCCCTCTTAGCAACCCAAATCCGGGGACAGGTTCATTACCCCTCTAAGCCCCAGCACCCCACCGACCCTCTCTTTCCCCCTTCTTCGCTTTCCATTCTGTTCTCAACATCCCACCCAACCCCTATCTGTAAGACAAATATTTTCCTATAATAAGCAGCTCCAAAGTCCTAAAATCGCTCTGGATAATTATCACTTTCTTGGATTTCAACAATTGTCTTTGTGTGAAACCCCAATCCCCCATTTCCGAAAGTCTCCCTCTCTTGCTACAGACCAGCTGCAATCCAGCTGGCTGTGTTGGTCAATGGTGGGGGAAGCTGAATCCATCCAGAATGTGTTTCCAACTTTCTCTCTTCTAACTGTTTCCGCCCACCTTCTGCTGCCTCCTGGGGTGGTACTGGGCTAGCGGGTCTGGGGAGACATCTGGGAAGAGATGGAAGTTAAAGACCTCACCAAATGGGAAGAGCCCCAGGGGCCAAGCCTAAAGGTAAGCATACCTTTCTGGATTGAGCAGGGACACTGGATGCCCTGGAGATACCTATGAAGAGAGAATATAGATGTGAGTCTGGACCTCAGAAAGAGTACCGCGAGGAGAGCAGGGATTTTCATCGTTTCTTGCTGTTAGTTCTTCCTACCATCTAACCATAATACTTCTTATAGTTATGAGTCTTTCTTGTTCTACCCTTGCTGAAATGAAAGATCAAAGGATAGAAATTTTCCTTTTAGGAAATCTATTACCACTCCCTTCTCCATCTGCTCTGGATTCTGGCCCCCTTCCCTAGTGGATGATGTGGAGGCCTGGCACACCCCCAGGACCCAGCTGGCGAGTAAGATCCATCCCTGATGTCTGTCCTCAAGCTGTTTGTCCTCCCCACAGGGTCTCTCAGAGCCACGTGCCCTCCTCAGGCCCTGCTAGGGGGCAGATTGAAAACAGACCTGCTGGACAAATACTGTCCTGAGTTAGCCAAGGTCAGCTGAGCCAGGCCTCCAGCTCCACAGGCACCAGGGACTAGCTGGAGGAATGTGTCCTCTGAACTCAGCCTTGCCTCTGCACTCTGCTCAGTCCTTTCTTACCCCTCGTCCTATTCAAGGGTCCATCTCCTGGTGGTGGATGCTAAGGTAGCGGGAGGATATTTATCCTTTCTGGTATGGTGGTCATGGCTCACACAATAGATGCTGTTACTCTAACAGGAAAAATTGATGTTAAATGGCAGGATGGCCTTCCCAGATAGCAACAGAGAGTGAAGTGTTCTCTTTGTCCAAGAAGGTAAGGTAGAGTGTCTCTTCTACAAAGTCAGTTGGACCTGAGAACCTCAGTCACTTCTCCCTGGACCCAGGAGATCAAGAGCCAAGAAGTAGGGCTCTAGCATCCTGAGGGGCAGGACTTCCTTTCTCCCTCTCCCTTTTGTTTGGAATAGGGTGAATCTGCTTGGAATAGGGTGAATCTGCTGAGGGAAATGAGAGTTTGTTTCTCTAGGAACCCAAGACTGGAGAGGCCCAGGAATTTGGCCAGCTTGGCCCTCTTGTTCCCTATTGCATCCTGCAGGGCTCTACTCCATCCATCCAGGCCAGGAGAGGTTGGTGGAGCTTAGACCTGGCCTGTCCAGAGGTGCTCCTGCTTGTTCCTCCTCCTATGAGAGGGGTGCCCCCTCCTGTCTCCCTACCTTCTTCATAACTGGGAGCAGAGAAGGGTACAAGCTGGGAAAAAAACACAGGGGAACATAGAGAGTGAATCCACAGAGGTTGAATGAGAAGACCTGGCCACCTGACCTGGTGAGAGAGAGACATCAGGGTGGAGGGAGGGGACAGTGTCCCCTTCTGTCCCCTATTCTCAGGGCAGGATGGAGTTCCCTTGAGAGGAGAAAGGCATGGGAACCTTCCAGGAGGGCCAGTGAGCAGGAGTCTGATGCAAGGAATGTTATCTGAGCCCCAGCTCTGGCTTTTTCTTCATTTTCCTTATATCAGTAAAAATAATAACAACAATGACAATAGTTATCTTAAGTTTGACGAAGCTTCTATTTCCATTTTACAGTTGAGGAATATGAGGCTCAGAGAGGTTAAGCCATTTGCCCAGGGTCATCCAGGTGGAAAGGGGATTGAGCCAGGAAAAAATCACAGCCTAATGGATCTGACTCCAGAGCCTCTGACTTCCCCAGCCTTCCGGCCATATTCTATAGAGAGAAACAACTGCCCTGTCTCTTCTGCTCAGAATCCTGCTCTTTGTTTTGGGGAGGGAAGGAGACCAGGCAAATAAAGATCTGCTTAGTACCAGACAAGGTGCCATAGCTAGGGCAGAGAGGGAGTGGCCCCTTCACAGGTCTGCCCTGCACATGGGCATAGGGGAAGACTGGTGACTCTGATGAGTCCACCCCAACAGAAGTCTCAAGCCAGTGTAGAAGAAAGGCCAGAATGAAGTAAGCAGAGCTACTATGAGCCTGTAGCTGGACACTTACTGGGTGGGAACATAGGGAAGTTGCCCCTGAGAATTCTGGAAGTGAAGAGTTGGGACTTGGTGAGCCCTTTCCACCTGCTGACTCAACAAGGTGGGGCCATAGCCAGGAGCAGGTCTTCCAGGGGCAGGGCTCTTTGCCCCTCCTCCCTAAACCTATCACCTTTCACCACCTATATCTCCTTCAAGGTACCTCCTGTCATCCACTCTCCCTCCCTCACATACATCAAGGCACAGGTAGATTGCTTCAGCTGTCTCCTCTGCAGGGTGTGAGACAGGTGCCCCCTCCCCTGTCCCTGCAGGGGTGAATATCATGCTGAGGAAGATCGCTGTGGCTGCAGCATCCAAGCCAGCAGTGGAGATCAAACAGGAAGCAGACACTTTCTACATCAAAACTTCTACTGTGGTGCGCACCACAGAGATTAACTTCAAGATCGGAGAGGAGTTTGAAGAACAAACTGTGGATGGGAGACCCTGTAAGGTAAGTCCAGGAAGGGGCCCTCCAGGTCGCAGCATCTACTGCCCTGACTCTCAACATGTCACTCTCAGCCAGCTTTCCTAGCTGTGTCCCTTCATTCCCTATGGAAAAGTTCCTAGGGAATGCTGGGAGTTAGAAAGGGCATCTGTCCCTTTTCTCTCTCACTGCATGGCCACTGCAATGGGCCCAGCTCACTTGGCCACCTGTCCCTTGCAGAGCCTGGTGAAATGGGAGAGTGAGAACAAGATGGCCTGTGAGCAGAGGCTTCTGAAGGGAGAGGGCCCCAAGACCTCCTGGACCAGAGAACTGACCAATGACGGAGAGTTGATCTTGGTGAGTCCAGCCCCCTCCAAACCACTAGCAAACCCCTGCTACCTCCATCCTTCTCTGGGAGGTTCCAGGGTACAGAAGGCTCCAGAACAACCATGCTGGTCTCTTCACCCTCCTGATGGGGCTGCTTGTACAGGAATATACTATTGTCTTCCCACCCATTGTGAATTAGAAATGATGCTCTCACCCCTTTTATGTGGAGCAAAGACGTATTCCGAGGGGCTCCATTGTTCTCCAGGGGGGTCTCCCTGGCTCGGAGAGGAGGGTGGGCTTCTGTTTGATTGCCATCTCCCTCTAGTGAGGCCTGGGCATTCTGGGACCAGCTAGAAGCCAAGAGGGTATCTCTAAAGCCAAGGAGCCCAGGCACCCCACAGGCTGACAATTACTTCTGTCCTTCCAGACCATGACAGCTAACGACGTTGTGTGCACCAGGGTCTACGTCCGAGAGTGAGTGGCTGTGGGTCCAAGAGTTGCCTGAGTCCACTGCCCCTCCCCCTCCCACATTCCCCTGCTTCATGGCCCCAGGGGCCACCACCCTGCCCCCTCTCCCAGTAGGTTAGCACTTCCCTTACCCCATCACTCCTGAGGGCTGCTGGGACGCCTCTTGTAGGGTCTTTTGTTCTTTGACCCCTTCCCCTCTCTACGACAACAGAGAGGAATGGATTGCAAGAACCCAGACCACCCCTTCCACCATCACTACCCCCCTTCCACACAGGTCAGCAGTCCAGCCCCACACCAGTCCAGAGCAGGGAGGCCCTGAGTGAGAAAGACCATCTCTCTGGCTTCTACTCCTTGTCCCTGTAGCCTATGGTATAGAATATTTATTTGTTAATTTTATTAAAATGCTTAAAAAAATAAAACCTGGCTCTGGTTCATTGGGCAGGGTTAGATAAGCCGACTGAGCTCAGCCTTGCCTCAGTGAAAGGGCTACTGTTTCAGCAACTGAGCTAGGGTCTGAGTCATACAGCAGGGAGCGGAAAGTGACCTCCTCACCCTCCGACTAGCACCTCTTCATTTGTGCTGAATCCATCAGTATCACCTCCACTCTTCTCCAGCCCTGGTCCCCTGAGCTGGCTTCCCAGGTCAGCATGGCCTCCTCCTCCTGCCCCTTAGCCGGGGTGCTGGGCTGTGGAGAGTCAACTCCACCTCCTCTTCCAGTGTCTTCCCTGGTGGTGACACAGATTCCTCCTCTTCCAGTTGTCCCTTCTCTCTCCCAGCCTCAATCCATGGACTTCCCCAGGCCTGGCTGTGGTGTCCCACATATTCCAAATGAACTCATCAATACCCACAGGCTGGCCTTGCTCCTGCCTGGGTCTCTCAGCAACAGTCTCCTCCTGCCTGGTAGCACCCCGTGTTTACCACCCCTTCTTCCCTGCCCCCACACCTTCCACATGTCCTTTCTAACCCTGGCTTCCAGATCTTCCAGGTTCCTTGGGTCCTGCCATCCTCCCCCAAGCCTCCACACTCATCTCTACCAAGTCTCTCTAAATTCCATCATCATCTCTCTCAAACTCTCCCCACCTGCCCCAGGCCACTGTCCTAGACCAGACCGTAGTGCTCACTGATTTTAAACAGCAGTAACTTCTAACTTCTTTGTCATGGTATGACAGAGTGAAATGAGCACAGGTGTGGGAATAAGAAGGGTTCAAATCCTGGTTCTGCCATTAATGAGTTGTGTGACCTCAAGCAGATTACTGAGCTTCTCTGAGCCTCAGTTAAAAAAAAAAAAAAAAAATTGGGGTGAAGAACTGGTGGCTTATGCCTCTAATCCTAGCTATTTGGGAGGCAGAGATCAGGAAAATCTCAGTTTGAGGCCAGCCTAGGCTAATAGTTCCTGAGACCCTATCTCAAAAATACCCAACATAAAAAAGGACTGGTGGGAAAAAAAAAAAAAGGACTGGTGGAGTGGCTTAAGTGGTGGAGCACCTGCTTAGCAAGCATAAGGCCCTGAGTTCAAATCCCATTACCACCAAAAAAAACCCTACAAAGCTGGGGCTGGGGATGTATCTCAGTGGTAGAGCACTTAGTTGCCTAGTGTGTGTGAGGCCATAGGTTCCATCCCTAACACCAAAGCAAACAAAGAGAATCCCAAAAATAAGTTTTGTTTTGTTTTGTTTTGTTTTATTTGCGGTACTGGGGCTTGAACTCAGGGCCTACACCTTGAACCACTCTACCAGCCATTTTTTGTGAAGAGTTTTTTCAAGATAGGGTCTCCCAGAACTATTTGGCCAGGCTGGTTTCGAACCACAATCTTCCTGATGTCTGCCATCTGAGTAGCTAGGATTACAGGCATGAGCCATCGGTGCCCAGCCTCCAAAATAACATAATTTAATGGTTTATGGACTAGTAAATTCTAGCTTCAGGTGTGGCTGAATCCAGAGCTTCAAAGATGGTCACCAATGTCTCCTTGTTCCTGCATCCTGCTCACCTGTGTTTCTTTCGTGGACTGACTACATTCAATCCTGTCACATAGAAGTTCTCTCCAAGTTAAAATCAGCCTCAGGTACACCAAGTTTAAAAAGTTACAGCTTGAAGGGCTAAAATGTAGCTCAGTGGTATAGCACTTTCCTAGCATGTGCAAGACACTGAGTTTGATCCCAGGACCCCTGGGGAGATCCAAAAAAGAAGAGAGGCCCTTTAGGATTCAAATCATCAACATTCTGAGACTCAGTTTGGTCCTGTGGGTATCAAATCACTATTCCTTGAACTAGTTGCTGTTCTCAGGGCAAGGCGCCCAGTAATGGACCAGGGTTGAGCCTTGTGTCACACCCATGGCCAAGGAATAGGTGAGGCACTGTGACAATTCCTCTAGAAACCCAAGGGATAAGAAAGGACAATTTTTCACTAAAGAAGGTCACCATGAATATAAATAGCATATATACATACAGATAACATCTACCTCACAAAGTTGTCGTAAGACTAAAATAAAATAAATCTTATGTAGCACTTAGAAATAGGAAGCCCTAAAAAAAAATGATGGTTCATCCAGGTACAGTGGTGTACACCTGTAGTCTGAGCTACTCAAAAGCCTGAAGCAGGAGGGTCTCTTGAGCCCAGAAACATAGTGAAAGCTTATCTAAAAATTAAAAAATAAATTTAAGAAATGATGGCTCTACTTCTCTGATTTACTCTGCACAATTCTGCTAGGAGAATCCTTTGAAAACATAACTTTTATCATGTTGGTACCCTGGCTGTGGATGTGTGCAACTCAGTCTTAGAGAACATGCCTAGCAACCACAAGGCCATCGGTCCCATCCCCAGGACCCAAAATATAAACTGAAATGAAAAATGAAACAACAAAGAAAGAAAAGGAAAAAAAAAGAAACAATGCCAAAATAAAAATTCACCTTAGCTACCTTTTTAACCTCCAGAATAAAGTCTAATCTGGTATTGGAGACCCTTTAAGAGGCAGCCCCTACAGCTTGCTGTATTTTGCTCCTTCGAGAAAGTCGTCCACCTTCTCTGCCCACTGACATTCAGTGCTTCTCCAAAGCTTAGATCCCTGCACAGCTTAAAGCAGCCTCTCTGTCAGTCAGTGCCGACAGTCAGTGGTCATGCTTCATGGCTTCTGTGGCAGGTGAGCCTCCTCTCCTTGTAAGGTCAGAGTGCCCTGAGGCCAAGGCCTCCTGCTTCTGCAGGAGAGGTCACACCTGCAAAGGGCAGAGGGCCAGGGCCAGAGAGAGAGAGAGAGAGAGGGGAGAGCCCTCTCTGAGTGTGGGGTAGGGAGAGGAAAGAGGTGCCAGAAGAGGAGGTGTTTAGAGGACTTTGGAACTAAAAAGCAGGGAGAAAGTGCCCTAGGCAGGCAGAGGGAGCCACACAGGGTAAAGGCCCTGAGGCAGAGAAGCACTTGGAGCTCACCAAGGTAAGGTCCTGTGACAGAGGTGCTGTGAGGTTGAATGGGTTGTCAGGGCCAGGTCATGCAGAACCTGAAGGCCACACTAAGTATTATTTTATTCTAAGAGCAATGAGACGCCATCAAGGTTTTTGGTTTTTGGTTTTGGTTTTTGGAGGGGATGGTATTCCATTAGTGTTCCTATGGCTGCCAGAGATGGACTGGAAAAAAAGAGAGGAGTTGTGGCAGGAGAGTGGTAGGATGCCTGGGCAGAGGGTAGAGAGAAATGGCAGAGAGTGCAGTCTTTTTCCTATGCCTGATGCATAGATGGGAGGAAATGACAGAAAAGAGGGTGTTGAAAATGGTCTTGGGACTTCTGGCTTTGGTCACTGTGTGGCTGGTGGTAGTGCTGTTTTCAGAAATGGAAAAATGAATCCTGCTGGGCTGGCTGCCGAGGATCTTCTGCATGCTAATTTTTCTTCTCCTTCTCCTTCTTTCTTCCTTCTTTTTTTTGTATACTGGTTTCTTGTTTGAATCCAGAAGCACTCAGTTCCTCCACCTGAGCTATGACTTCCTCTCTTTCCATGTCACCTCTCTCCACCTCACTCATCCTTGATCCTCACTCCTACCTGATCCTCATCCAGGCTGCCTCCTCCTTCCCTCCTTATCCTGGCTCCCTATCCACCCTCCCCAGCTTTGGGTTCTGGAACTCTGTTGATTTGTCTGGAGCATCTGCTTTTCTTTCTCTGCCTACTGTCTCTTTCTGGAACAAAGTTGCTGAGAAAGGCAAAAAGAGGAAGTCTCTTTTTCCTGGGAGGTATCCCTTGGTCAGACTGGAGGCTTCCTAAAGACAGAGGCTATGTTTCCTCTCTCAAGATTGGGGCTTGCTGAGAGCAGAGCCAGAGTTGGTCCTTTTTCCTCCTACCCTGGGCTCTGCTTCTCCAGGACTTTCCTGCCTGCCAGCCTGGGGTGACAGGAAAGTTATAGTCAAGAATGGGGAGATTGGATCAGGGAGGAACCACTTCATCCTGCTGGTCCAGTCTGGAACAACCCTGAGAAAGTCCCTCCAGCTTTCACCTGGAGGGTGAGGACCGCCCTTAGGAGGTCCTCTTGGGCTCCTCTTCCCGTTAACTGAGCCTTTCTTACTCAGCACTTCTGGGAGAAAATGCCCAGGAGCTCCCATATCCCACCAGCACCCCAAAGTTCTGCAAGATCTCTGAGGGCAGAGCTTTCTTTTCTCTAAAGCCCAGACTTCTCAGAGCCCAACCCCAGCAGAGGCTGAAGCAGCACAGCGACCTGGGCACAGGTCTGCAGTAAGGAGACCAGGAAGGGCAGAGAAAGAAAGAGGCCTGTATAAAAAGATTGACTCACTCCTGGGTTTGGGATGCTGACATACACAGCATAGTAGGGACATTGTCAAACAATGAGAGAGTCTGCACAAACATCTCAGGGAGACTGAGGCAGAGGGAACCCCTCTTCTCCCTGCTCCCTCTCCAAGAGACAGGAGTATGGAACAAAGAGAAAGACTCATTGATATCAAACCCCAAAGATTCCAGACACAGATGAGACCAGAAAGGACTGAGCCTAGGGCTCAGTGGGCCTCTGAGGTCCCAAGTACC